AGCCTTTGACAATCCCAGCTGAGCCGCACGATCATCAGAGGCTTTTTTTTTTTCTTTTAAAAGCATTTTTTCAGCCAAAGAGGTTGTAGAAAAAATGCTTTTAAAAGTAAAAATAAGCCTTTTGATGATTATGCTGCTCAGCTGGGCATAGGGGGTTGGGCAGGGATTTTTATTTATTTATTTATTTAATTTGGTTTATATGCCGCCCTTCTCCGGAGACTCAGGACGGCTTACAATGCCTTAAGCAATAGCCTTCATACTTTTGTATATTTATACAAAGTCAGCTTATTGCCCCCACAAACTGGGTCCTCAATTTACCTACCTTAGAAAGGATGGAAGGCTGAGTCAACCTTGAGCCTGGCAAGATTCGAACTTACTAATTAAGTTCGAATTAAGTTAAATTAATTACAGCTGGAGTTAAATTACAATGCATTAGTCTGCTGAGCTATCCAGGCTCCTACCGGTTCTCTGAATCACCCGCCTCCATCGCTACCGAATCGGGTGAACTGGGATCATTTCACCCCTGGTCTGGTCTATAAAGTGTGTATGTACAGTAAACATGTATATGAGTATCTGTTACAGGTGGGTTCAATCCTAGTTTTTCTCCCTAGCTCTGTTATCAAAAGTCCCAAACCAACTTCCCATAATGTTCCTTTGCTCATATGGAATGGAGAGCTAAAACTTGTGCTAGTTTGGCTCACTAAGCCAAACTTTGCCGTGATGGATAAATTACAGATAGTCCTTGACTTGCCACCACAATTGAGCCCCAAATTTCGGTTGCTAAGAGAAACATTTGTTAAGTGAATTTTGACCCTTTTACGACCTTTCTTGCCACAGTTGTTAAGTGAATCACTGCAGCTGTTAAGTTAGTAACCTGGTTGTTAAATGAATCTGGCTTCCCCATTGACTTTGTCCGAAGGTCACAAAAGGTGATTACATGATCCCCGGGTCACTGCACCGTCATAAATATGAGTCAGTTGCCAAGTGCCCAAATTTTGATCATGTGACCATAGGGACACTGCAACGGTCATAAGTGTGAAACACGGTCATAAGTCACTTTTTTCAGTGCTGTTGTAACGTTGAACTGTTGTAAGTCAGGGACTACCTGTATTCCACACTTCGCATATGTTTAACTAGTCTTCAAGAGTATTTTTTTTTTAGCATAGCTTGAATTTCAGATGCTGGCAAATGAACTGTACAAGTTATTTGTAAGGAAAAACCTGGCAAAACCATTTGCTCCTTTGTAAAATATTGCACTGGCTTGATTGATTTACTTTCAGTTTGGTAGCCACCCTGAATAGAAGATACATGAATTTGCAAAACACACCGAGTGGTCCACAAGATTTAGAAGATAAAATCCCAGCCCAAGTTTTAGTTTTGCATTGCATGCTTGCTGCATTGCACAAACACAAAAAAAAGTTATTCAAAAGTGCTGACAAGTCAGAAGTATCTTTCCCCTTTCTTGAAAAAAAATAAAACAAAACTGATGACTAATGAATTATCAATCTGCCTTGCTTGCAGAGGCATTTTTCCAAAAGATAGGGGAAGTTTCACTCCAAAGTACATATAATATTTACACACACTATTCTTTCTATATAACTAACGACACAACTACCGTTAAATCATCACCAGAAGTGTGCAAAAAAATAAATAAATAAAATAAATAAATACAGGTAGTCCTCGACTTATGACCGTAATTGAGCCTGCGGTTTCGGTTCTAGGTTGTGACGGTTGTAAAACGGGTCGCCCACATACAAAAGATTGTACAACCTTTTTTCGCAGAGGTCATAAAATGAATATGGTGTTTGTAAAGCAAACGCCACGGTTGTTAAGCGAACCCAACGTTCACTATGGGACAGTTTTCGCTGGAAAGAAAGCTTCATCAATGGAGGTCGTATGACTGGAGGGGCACTGCAAACGGCCATAAATGCAGGCCAGTTGATGGGTGCCCAAAATGCTGTCACATAACCACAATGGGGTGTGTATATCTGGGTCATAAGTCTCTTCTTTGGGGATCCGTCATAACTTTGAACAATCGCTAAATAACCAGTTGTAAGTTGAGGACTACTCGTATGCAACCTCTTGGCGACAGAGGAAGCTAAATGGCCAAGACACCTCCAATTTTACGCGGGAGAAAACCCGAATATATATATGTTAAGAATTGTCCTAAAAATGCGAGTTCCAGGTATAGTTATAGAAGAGGCGATAGACATCACGATCTCCGGAACGTTTAAAAGTTTAAAAGCTTAGCACAAGTTTTAAAATAAAAAATTTTAAATAATGAATTAGATATAGATATATATGTTTTATTTTCTTTATATATATATATACATATATATATATGTAGGTCTTTGGTTATTCGGGTCTTCTCCCACGTAAAATTGGAAGTGTCTTGGCGACGTTTCGACAAAGTCTCATTCGTCATCTTCAGGCTGGTGTTCTCGGCTTCGTGCTTCCAGGAGCAATTGTTTCGACTTCGTCGAAACGTCGCCAAGACACTTCCAATTTTACGTGGGAGAAGACCCGAATAACCAAAGACCTACATACAAACACCCGCGAAAACCTGAGAAAACAAATATATATATATATGGAATGCATATGCTATGCACCAGTTGTGGTATTCACTTACCTTCGCTACTGGTTCACAGATATGAGCACATGCGCCTGCTCTGCGTATGCGCAGAGCCTTCTGCACATGCGCACAGCATCTATGATGACGTCTGGGCAGGTGGGCAGAGCCTCCCGCCACCACCACTACCGGTTCGTCCGAACCGGTTAGAACCAGTAGAATCCCACCACTGCTATGCACTAATGAATATACTTTATCATGAGATAACAAGACTGGTTTCTTGTTATCTGACCTCTGACTTACCTATTAATTATAAAGTATTCAGACGGGTGCCAACAGGCAATTGTTATTTCCTATAAAATGCCTAGAAATGCATTTTTTTTTAAAGAAGAGTGGCCAAATTTTTCGGCCAATTCAATAGCTGTTGAAAAGCCACTAGATCTAAACTGATTGATTATGTCTCGTCAAGCTGTTTTTGATTCCTGCCAAGTACAAAAATCTAGATATACTGAGTCATCTCTGGGTGGGATTTTTTTTACTGGATGTTTTGTATTGTAACATTGGTGGGTTTTTTTGATCTGTGACTGCACATAAACATTGATACCCAGATCTGCAGTACATGCCAAGACACAATACACCGGATCACAAACCACCCAATCCTATTTTAGCCTACAATAGAGCGTTGTCAGAATCCATTCACTACGTTAGAATTATAAAGATGAGCCACATGTGCAAGGTTTGTTTTTTTTTTAGTTGAAAACTATGACAAAGATTATCAGTCTTTTCTAGCTTAAGAACTAAATCATCACCATCACCCACCAACTTCATTTCATGAGATCAACCAATTTAAAAAGAATCCGACCCAAGGAGCTGCTGATCCAGTTCTACAGAGGAATTATTGAGTCTGTCATCTGCACCTCTATAACTGTCTGGTTTGGTTCTGCAACCCAACAAGACAGACACAGACTTCAGAGGATCATTAGAACTGCAGAAAAAACAATGGCTACCAACCTGCCTTCCATTGAGGACCTGTATACTGCACGAGTCAAAAAGAGGTCTGAGAAAATATTTACAGACCCCTCGCATCCTGGACATAAACTGTTTCAACTCCTACCCTCAAAACAATGCTATAGAGCACACCAGAACAACTAGACACAAGGACAGTATTTTCCCAAGCGCCATCACTCTGCTAAACAAATAATTCCTTCAACACTGTCAAACTATTCACTAAGTCTGCACTACTATTATTTATTTATTTATTTATTAGTCATATTTCTATGCCGCCCACTCTCCGAGGACTCTGGGCGGCTTACACCAAAGACAGTATACTAAATAGCATATTGCTCCCAACAATCAATCTTCTTATCGTTCCCACCACCCATCTCCTTCCACTTATGACTGTATGACTGTATGACTGTAGCTTTGTTGCTTGTATCCTTACGATTTATATTGATATTGTTTCCTGATTGCTTATTTGCACCCTATGACTATCATTAAGTGTTGTACCTTATGATTCTTGATAAACGTATCTTTTCTTTTATGTACACCAAGACAAATTCCTTGTGTGTCCAATCACACTTGGCCAATAAAAAAATTCTATTCTATTCTATTCTATTCTATTCTATTCTATTCTATTCTATTCTATTCTATTCTATTCTATTCTATTCTATTCCATTCCATTCCATTCCATTCCATTCCATTCTATTGTGCCCCTTCCAAATCTTGTGGCTCTAGGTGTATTCAACTGAATCTCCAACCAGGAATGGACCATGATTGTTATTCTTCTGAAGAGTAGCAATCAAGGAGGTCTGCTATGTAAATAGTTACCAGGGCAAATGAACCAGTGGGACATTTTATAATGTATCTTCAGGTCCAATGGAGGATAATGAGAACGTGGGTCAACTATAGAGGGTCTCTGATCCTGAAAGACATGGTGGTCTTTCTAAGTGGACCTTAGGAAAACAAATGCCAAGGAAGATGCATTGCCCTGAAAATCAGATGAGAAATGTAAAATCCACACTGTTTTAGAGAACAAAACTGAATCTGGGAGCAACAACCCATTGTGAGGTCTTCTTGTACAATAGTGATAACTGGATAGTATTAAGCAAAGTTTGGGGGGGTCTCCCTCTCAGGTTTTAAGTCTGCTGGGGTCAGCAAACACACTATTTGGGGAAATCCATGGAGAATATGTGAACAATGGGAAAATTTTATGTGAATTTCATGGTTCTATAAATTATTGTGTTGTGGGCTTTTTTTAGCACAAAAAAAGTCCATTGTACACCTTCCTGTTCTAGACTGCAGAAATCCAGAGGGCCTCTAGGGCAGGGAAAAAAAGTTAGTTTTCACTAACTCTTTGCTGCCATCCAGAGGACACCTGGAGTAATGAAGCTCATTGAAGTTTAGGTCATATAGCCAGGGAGTTAGGTCAAACCTTGTTGAGCTGGGGATTCCTGGTGATGTCATAGCCCCTCTTCTTAATCCCCATCACTTTGGTGGCTGAAGGAGGGCACTCTCTGGAAGAGCAGGACCTATTGGGGGGCAAACTGCCAACTTGGAGCCCGGGCGTGACCCCCAGCAGTCGAAAGAGGCTGCCACCGCCTCTGCTTCTCAAGGACTTCAGCATCATGGATGGTCCTGCTGTGGAGGAGATCCAGCACCTGCGAGAAGAGGGAAGAGAGGTGAGCCAAAGCCAGAGAGAGAGAGAGGTGGGGTGGGATGGGGGTTCTCACCAGCGCGAGAAGGGGAAGGGGGCTCAAAGGAAGGGAAAGAAGGGTCATCTTCAAAGCAACCCAGCCCACCTAAAAGCCCAGTCAAAGCAAAAGAAGAGCTGGCGTTCTTACTTCCGTTCCTAAAAGCTTCCCTTGGCCGGATCGTCAAGAGCGCGCCCAATATAAGCAGCCTGGAGGCGATCTTCGGAAAGCGAAAGGAAACCCCAGGAAGCAGATCGGCCGCCGATCTTGGCAACCCGAAGACTGGCACTGGCAGCCGGAGGGCGCCTCCTCCTCCTCCTCCTCCCTCCGCCGCTCACAATCCCCGCCTTCTTCCCCCCTCGCACCCCCCCCACCCCCAGCGATCCGGTGATCGGGTGAAAAGGACGGCGGGATCTACCTGGGATCTGCAGGAGGGAGAGAAGAGAACCCGAATTTGGAAAAAAAATTGGGAGGAGGGGGAGGGAGATCTAGTCCCCCCCCCCGGGTTGCAACATCTGCAAAGGCGCTGCTAATGGTCCCCCCACCACCACCTCCGATGGACCACGGATGGTCAGCCGGGCCCTGCCTTGGAAGGAGATGGAGGAGTCTGGGGTCCACCGCGGCCTGTGGCTGGACAGCAGCAGCTCCCCAGATTTGGCCTGGACGGGGGGGGGGGGGGAAGGGGGGTCAAGATGAAGGGTAGGACTGCTTGACTGGATCTGGAGCATCATCTCTGGTTTGTTCTTCATCCTGTGAGAACGGGGTGGGGTGGGGGGTTTGCAGAGTGTGTTCTCAGAAAACGGGGGTGGGTTTTTCAGGACAGGTTGGGAGGTCTCCGTTGAGGATGCTGCCAGTTTAACCTGCCCCACCCCCCCATGGTGCTAGAGGGAAATGAAGGGAAGTGGCAGCAGATGATTGACTGACTGACTGACTGATTGATTGGAAGTAGGTCAGAAGGAGCATGAATATTTATTTATTTATTTATTGGTTCGATTTATAGGCCGCCCTTCTCCGGAGACTCAGGGCGGCTTACAATGCGTTAAACAATCGCCTTCATACTTTTTGTATATACCTGCTTAGTAGGGCTTTCAGGCCCACCTAAGCGGTGTTCTTTTTTATACAAAGTCAGCTTATTGCCCCCACAATCCGGGTCCTCATTTTACCTACCTCGAAAGGATGAAAGGCTGAGTCAACCTTGAGCCTGGTGAGATTTGAACTTGCTTATAACTTGCTTATTTAGTTATTTGTTCATTTATTGGAAGTAGGCCAGGATAGCATGAGGAGCTTGGTTGCTTATTTATTAGGAGGCCAGAAGTAGCACAACTCTCTCTCTCTCTCTCTCTCTCTCTCTCTATCTATCTATCTATCTCTATCTCTATCTCTATCTCTATCTCTATCTCTATCTGTCTATCTCTATCTATCTATCTGTCTATCTCTATCTATCTCTATCTATCTCTATCTATCTATCTATCTCTATCTATCTATCTATCTCTATCTATCTATCTATCTATCTATCTATCTCTATCTGTCTATCTATCTATATCTATCTATCTATCTATCTATCTATCTATCTATCTATCTATCTATCCCTCTCTCTCTCTATCTCTATCTATCTATCTATCTCTATCTATCTATCTATCTATATCTATCTATCTATCTATCTATCTATCTATCTATCTATCTATCCCTATCTATCTATCTATCCACCCACTTACCTATCTACCTACCTACCTACCTATCATCTCTATCTTTTTGTCTCTGTCTGTCTGTCTGTCTGTCTGTCTCTACCTACCTACCTACCTACCTACCTACCTACCTACCTACCTACCTACCTACCATCTCTCTTTGTCTGCCTAGCTACCTGCTTATCTGCCTACCTGTATCTCTTTCTCTGTGTGTGTCCATCTAGTTACCTATCTGCCTTATCTATCTGATTTCTCCCTCCCTCCCTCCCTCCCTCTCCCCCCCCCCAATCTCTATCTATCTCTGGCCATATGAAGGTAGTAAAAGGAAGTCTACGGGTTTTGGTACCCCGCTGGAAAATCCAAATGGCATTTTGTAGAGAAAGTCACAGGGCCATCACTCTTGTGTTCTCTCCAGGAAATGAGTTAGACAGGTGCAAGAGTTAATCTCATCTCTTGTACAGCTCCATTGTCTTCTGAGGGAAGAGTTTACCTCTTGGTTATGGATGGCTCCGTCTGATTTGAGGAAAGGAGGAGAATGGATGAAGAAAGCTGAATTTGAATGCAGGGACCTCCACAGAGTGGGTTACAAAACTAATGAGATGGTAGGAATAAGTATTATGGTTGACTTCTTCCTTGTTCCTTTTGTTGGCATGTACAAAAAGGATGGGCCTTTGGGGCACTATGCCCACTAACTTTAAGATTTTGAGCAAGCACCCTTGTTGGAAATGCCAATGTACAGTTTGAGTGAGTTTCATTCCATATTTGACTAGATATGTCGATAGAGATTCTCGGTCATCCCGGTCATAGTTGTCCCAAAGATGATTTTTTTTCCAAGAGGCAACTGGAGTTTCTTGCTTTTCTTTGAAGACTTTTCTTGCTTCTCATACAAGAAGCTTCATCAGCTCTTAATATGTTTGGTGAAGGCTTCCAATTCCTGTGTTTTGATCTTGACCCAAGTATCGACCAAATACCTATACTAATGAGTAGGTGGGATTCCTGGGAAGGAGTTTAGGGCTTTGATTTCTACCTCTTCCATGTAGAGATTGGTGACAAGGGGGAGTGGGGACGACACAGGTGAACCCGTGGCACAGCTGTGTTTTTGACAGAGCTGAAGAAGCTTCTTGGATGAGAAGCGAAATGTCTTCAAAGAAAAACAAGGAAGTCCAGTTGCCTCTTGAAAAAGCATCTTTGGGACTTGCCTAAAGACCAGCATATTTCTGTTCAAAAAAGTGATATTGATCCATATATTATTTGCATCAGTGGTGAAATGTAAAATTTGTTACTACCGGTTCTGTGGGCGTGGCTTGGTGGTGGTGGTGGTAATGTGACTGAGTGGGCGTGACCAACTTTTTTTTTTTTTTTACTTTTAAAAGCATTTTTTCTACAACCTCTTCGGCTGAAGAGGATGTAAAAAAATGCTTTTAAAAGCCTCTGATGATCAGGCAACTCAGCTGGGATCTTCAGAGGCTTTTAAAAGCATTTTTTAACAACCTCTTCTACCGAAGAGGTTGTAGAAAAATGCTTTTAAAAGCCTCTGACGATCTCAGCTGAGCCGCGCGATCATCAGAGGCTTTTTTTTTTAACTTTTAAAAGTGTTTTTTCGGCCGAAGAGGTTGTGGAAAAAATGCTTTTAAAAGTAAAAAAAACAGCCTCTGATGATTGCGCGATTCAGCTGGGCATTGGGGGGGGGAGCACAGGGATTTTTGCTACTGGTTCTCCGAACCACCCACCGCCATCGCTACCGGATCAGGTGATCCGGTCCAAACCAGGAACATTTCACCCCTGATTTGCATCCTCCAAAATGGCAGTGCCTACAATGCCCAGAATTCCTCTCAGCAAGCTTGCTGAGAATTCTGGAAGTGATCGTCTCAGGACAGCTTAAAAAAGGAGAAACTTTGCTTGCAAGGATATCGGTATCGCATTGGTCTTCTAGCACCCTAAACAAACAGACTTGGGAGGCTTAGGGAGCCATGGAAATAACCTTGGAGAAGGCATCCAGGAGCTGTTAAGACAACATATGGACACTAATCTCACCATTGATACAAGAGCTATGAATCGGGTGGGTTCTAATTTTTTTTACTACCGGTTCTGTGGGCATGGCTTATTTTGTGGGCATGGCTTGATGGTCATGTGACAATTCTTTAGGATTTAGCAGAGGTACTGGTCTACCAGGCTTTTAACTGCTTGCAGAGCTGTACCGGTCTACCCATTTGTTTTTGGAGGCACTGATCTACTCATGTATTTTTGCAGACACTGGTCTACCCATTTATTTTTTCAGGCACTGGTCTACTCATGTATTTTTGCAGGCACTGGTCTACCCATTTATTTTTGCAGGCACCGGTCTACTCATGTATTTTTGCAGGCACTGGTCTACTCATTTGGTTTTGGAGGCACTGGTTTACCACCAAACTGCCTTTTACCACTGATCAGCTGTAGGGCGGCCCTTTGAAGCCCCACGGCAAGAGTTTAAACAGTTTTTCCTTATAGCCCATCAGCTAGGACTCAGGAGGCAGCAATAGATTGGGGGTGGGGCCAAATAAAACGTAAGAATAACGTGAAGGGGGGCAGAACCGGTTTGGTGATGTCATAAAGTCACCGCTACCGGCTCGGTGGAACTGGGCCAAACTGGGAGGAACCCACCACTGCTATGAGTGGTCCCAAAGAGCCATGGAAAGCTACACAGTTGGCATCACAAGGCAAGATAGAAAGACCTACACGTAGATTAGAGAACAAATGAAAGTGTACAAGTTCATCAAGAGAGTAAAAAAATTGAAATGGAAATGGGCTGGTCACGTAGCAAGAAGAACTGGTGATCTGTTTAATTAATCGATTGGACTTTTTTTAAAAAAAGTTTTTTAATTTTTTAAGACAAACATTTAGTACATCATTCATTTCTTCCATGTGGCATCTCGGTGTTATCTCCAAAAACTTCTTCTCTTCTATTATCTCTTCTATCTTCATTCTCTCCAAGTCCATTACAAAAGTTTTCCACTAATATAATATTCTAGTTATAACATTTTTTTATCAATCTCTTTTAAAGCTTATTTATATCTCTTTTCTAACCAATAGTAAAATTGGTTCCATATCTTAAAGTATTCTGAATCTTCTCTTTCTTTTATCATCATAGTTAATCTGTTCATTTCTGCACAATCTAAATTTTTTTTAATTACTTCTCCTTCCGATAGTATATTCTCTGCTTTCCAATTTTGTGCATAAACACTCCTTGCTGCTGTTATTAATCAATTGGACTTTTGTTGGCCACAATCAAACAGAATCTTGATAGCTCACATGCAACCAGAGACCCAGTGGGAACTCCTCAGAGGGAGTTGAACCTCGAACCTAGAACTAAGGAGGAATTACCTGACAGTGAGGACAACTGACCAGTGGAATGGCTTGTCACCAAGCCATTGGTGACAAGCCATTCCATTACTGGAGGGTTTTAAGAAGAAATTGGACAGCCATTTGTCCAGGATGCTATACGGTCTCCTGCTTGAACAGGAGGTTGGACTAGAAGACCTCTGAGGTCCCTTCCAGCTATGGGAATCTATTATTTATTTATTTATTGGTTCAATTTATATGCCGCCCTTCTCCGGAGA